CACACACACACAACACACACACACACAACACACACACACACACACACACACACTACACACACACACTTATATATATATATATATATATATATATATATTGTAATACATTGTTATATATCGTTATATATTGTTTTATATTGATATATATTGTTATGGATGGTTATATATTGCTATATATTGTCCAAGTACCATATTCATCATTTTTTTAGTTCTTATTATGAAATTATACGCCAACGAATTTAGGTAGTGCTCTGCTGTATCTACGGAGGGAGACAATTCTAATATATATTAAAATCTGTCACTTGTTGGCAAGAGAATCACGAGCCTTAATGCCGCTCTTGTTCTGTGCCCACCACACTACACTGTCTCTTAGATTAGATTCGGTGCCGTGCCACTGGTAGCAAGTAGTTATGTCAAGTTATTTAGTAAAGTATCCCGACTCTTATCGGAGCTGACAAATTTCTTTTCAATATAAACATGGAGCCCTAAATTACGAATCTGACTGCCCCGATTCTCTTTGTCAATTCAAAAGAGACATAAAATCTTATCTATCACTATCATCTCAGGCCTTTTATGGTGCCGAGGGAAGCATGATATAAGGGCATTCGATTTGATATCTTGTGCAAGAGTACATATGCGTTATTAACCAACACGCATGTCCAATCAGATAACTAGTCACACTTGCATCTGTGGACAAATATCTACCTGTATATGGACATACATTTTAAAGACGTATAAATTTGCTTTTACACCCTTCTTGCTACTCACAGACCGCGCGCACAGCGCGTGGCACACTGAGATGAACAATGCGAGGGCAGTGGTGTGCATGGTAGAGCTGTCAGAGGCTCCAGACAGGACAAATTTGGAACCTGCCCGAATTGTACACATAGTGGAGGATTTCGAATCGTCTCTGTTTGAAACTATCATGCGGACACGCGCCCGAGAAGGTGTGCACTATGAATAGATGTCCTAGTGCGGATTAGTTCGGCGCGTGTGCTAAACTCTCAGCAAATGTAGTGGTTGATTTCTCTTTACAGGTCAGATGACAACACACTGTGCGATTCATCTACAATCCACTTCATTCACTGCCTCAATCCCAAAAGTAAATGCACATCTGCTTCACGGATGCACACAGAACGAGTGGTTGGGCCCGAATGCGCTATGGATTGTCTCTTAGACGAAGTTCCTGAGTTGCCTCACACGCCTACCTTCAACCTTTGTCTGCGAGGCATAACCGTATGCTGTACTGGTATGTCGTTGAAAAGCTCACCCATCGATATCCTCGAAGCCACTGACATGTGGATGCGCTTCAGATATGAAGCCTTCTATTTGTAAACTGCAATAAGAGAGGCCGATTATCATACTTCGGCCGTATACAGCAAAGGCATTCTACGATCTAACGTCACGAGTGCGTATATATTGCAGGAATTGCGCTTCAGGATAGGAAGGTGCTACATAACAAGATTCAATGGCTTGGGGGAACAGCGCAAGCAGCTTTGAATAAACAGTGCAACTATCTTGTAGCAGGTATGGGTATCATATTCAATTTATGTGGCATCTCTTGTAACGAGAACGATATTTAATATTTCGGGAGAAGACTAAAAGTTTAACGCACGAAACATGTGCAAAACATGCTAACGCTGTGACACAAATGTTCAAACCAGGAGGAAATTCTACAACTGACAAGATTAAAATGGCAATCAAATGGGCCATTCCGGTGGTCAAGACAACCTTCGTTGACTGCATATGGGATAGCAGCACGAAAAAGGATGAGATCATAACCAAGGTATGTGGCGTCTCCCTCAAGTACATCGAAAGCCTGGCTTCGACGTGAATCGTACTCGCCACATCTGCATTTGAAGGTATATACAGCTGTAACCAATTGACAAGTCTGTTTCCCGCAGATAATGATTTCGGAATGGGCTGAGACTCACCGATCACAGCTTGAGACTCCCGTCCTGCACGGGGTACGCGTCACCGTGTCGGGGTTGTCAAACTCGGCCAGAGCAGAGGTATGTGTGTGCGTATGTGTGTGTATCGTATTCTACGTAGATTAATCGACTTACCCCTTATCGTCTGAACTCTCGCCCTGGCTGCACCGGGTATGCACGAGCGTTGCCATGCCAGCTGCCTGGGCTCATAGGTTGTGCATTGTGTATATGCTCGCACAGGTAAAGATGCGAGTCGACCGTCTGGGAGGACAGTACTTTGGAGATCTGAACGCCGCGTGCTCTGTGTTGATCGCACCCGCCGCCAAGTCCAATAAGAAACAAGATTTCGCCCGCAAGCATCGCATCCCAATAGTATATCCGAACTGGCTGGAGAGGTGAGACGAACGAAGTACTTTGTAGACGGTGGTTAACCTCGGTTTTAGGGTTTTAGGGTTTGTGTTTTAGGGTTTTGGGTTTGGGTTGGGAGGGGGGGGGGTGATGGTATTTTGTACTCGTAAATCTAACCCTGTTGCATTGCGGAAACTTGTTAACTTTTGGCAGTTGTGAGAAGCACAGGAGTTGCGTCGGGACTTCACAGTATCAAGTCGGCAAACCTGGTGAGTATTGGTTTGATACCAATTTCATCGTTTGCTTTATAATATGAGCTCGATCGACAGTGCGTTCGGAACTGTTCAGTCATTAATGTATTGTGTTTTTTATTTGAATGCAGAACTGAGTGAACCATTAAATAAGATACCAAACACTTTCGAAGAAAAGAAGCATCAAATATCACCGACCAAACGGAAAAACAAGCTTACTGCTGGCGCAGAAAGCGGCACCAGGAAGGAACGTAGACTACAACCACAGAGTATGTCATTTGGTCGTGCACTCAACGTGTGCTCTACCTGTCTTTGTTTCGCCCGGGAAAGTACTATTCCCTCATACCTGTACGATTGCTGAGCTCGGTATAGCAATACATGGAGCGACGGAACGGTTACAACCCGATACAATATACGGATTCCTCCGCTTGATATTTGCGGTTGTGTGGAATATAGTGGTCACTTGAAGCGTTTACTGGATTTCAGCTGACCTGGCAACCCTCAATTCAATTCAAGAGCAATAGTAATCTTTCGCATACCTTACGCTACACACATAGTGGCCTGTGCTCGCAGCCGAAAGATCAGCACTCAGAAGTTGGAGCTGGTCACGGATGCAGAGGGAGCGTGCGTAGCGGAGAAAGAAAGCCGATGTTTAGGAAGCACTTACATATACTTCAGTGGGATCAAAGACACGCCACGCATGCTCAACCTGCGACAGATACTCATTGCTAATGGTGGTAAGTGACGGGTGCTATCATTCTGTATTCTTTAACAATTGTATGAGACTTGAGACGGAGAGCACCTGACCACGGAGTTAGGTTAGTGTAGCTTAGCCTTTACTTTGACTCTCTTAAAATACAGGGACACGTCTATCACGGCTGTCCAACACCGTTACGCATGTGATCATTGGGGGTATCGAGAAACCCGACCTCAGGCAACTGATTGCGATGGAGGATCCCCCGGTATTGGTGACTGCTGCATGGGTAAGCGAAGCTCGATATATACTTCTCGCACAATATTACACGGAGACATGCTTCATACGATAGATGAATTGCTTCACGATTCTGCTATACCATCGTCTGCCCCGTTGTGTCACGGACAATGGTTCAAATTTGCTAACAATCGCACAAACCAGTGCTAGTATATACGAGTCAACAAATAATCATAGATCAAACACTCTCACCATTTAGTTGGTCCACTGCCACTTAGAAGAACGGTTTGTCCCCACTGGCGACTACGAATTGAAACTCAACGCCACAGAAGGCGCAGCTGGCATCGATATCATGGGCTCAGACACTTGCTTTGATGTGCCGGGGTAGGTAGCGCACGTGGATCTGTATCAGAACAAGCTTTCTTCCGTTAGATATATTGAATTCTT